CATTTGCCAATTTCTCCAAATAGTGAGAAGAGTGGGAGCAAGTTTTACGGGCACCACCAGGGCTCGGCAGCGGGTCTTCGAAAAGCAAGCTAGAAATCGTTATTAAGAGAATTGCGGAAATTGTATAGGTCCGGGAATCTGGGAGATTAAAATTCCTAATTCCTTTCGCATTTCCTGCTATTTGTCTCCAATAACTACCTACTATATATAGCTTGCCTCCATGTCTGCTCCAAGGCTCGAGAGAGCATCCGCGCGGGAAATTAAATATATGTTTTCAGTATCTCACTTAAACCCGTTTTTCTGAGCGAAAACTGATGAATGGCCTCCGAAATCGGTAAGAAACGCGCAACAAGAAGCTCAAAGATTTTATGCTAAACATTTGAGAACCAATAATAATAGAATTGTCACCTTTTCAATTTAATTTTCGGCAAAGACCTAAATTCTTCAATTAGCAAATACTTTTGGTTTCTCATGTTTCGCTCTCCTTATATCAACAATCTTCCAATGCGCCCAGCTTTTAGAGCAATAGGTTAAAATATTTCCCTTCACCCTTGCTAGGGCCTTGAATCATTATACTTTGAAGAACTGCACTAATTGTCCCGGCACTTTCACAGTTTACAAAGAGGACTTTGAAATGTACTGCATTTTTAAGAGGGTATTCGTTGTCGTCAACCGGACATCTCGTGCCGAGGCTTGATCGCCACTATAAACAAAGAAGCCCTAAAACTGTTACAAATTTCCCTTTCTTTCAAGTTAATTCTCATATTTGAAGGTTTCAAAAGAAATAAATTGCTTGTTTCCTGGATTTTCAAATGTTCAAGTAGTGGTCAGATTATCCTAAAAAGGTGCTTATCAAGTTTCAGTGACCCATGCGTTGCGAATCAGTTAAAGGATACTGGATCTGAACGTGATTGGAACGGAAACCTTATGGACGAGACTTTGCAAAGTCCGGTTCAATAAGTCAAAAACTGATTTGCAGCGACACTCCTAAACCAGAAAAGCGGTGAAAGCAGTCAAAAATGCTTGGGAGTTTTTCAACGAAGAAGTTTTTGGTTTGTACTACAATCATTTGCTAATCAGCCAGTGTATTTTGATCTTTACAATCTTGAGTAACTTCCTTCGTTTTGTAAATTAATTAGTAAATAAAGAAGTACATAAAAGGAGTTTTCACATCCTATATTACTTACTTGTTCACGTAGAGAATAAGTGAGCAAAAGCAACTAACGCAGTAAGGTAAAAATAGGGTCACATTTTCCACTTTGGAACAAA